GCCCCATATAGGGGAAAAAGCAAAAAATTTTAAAATAGAAATTTTTGAAATTTTTAGGCTATTTGTTGCCAAAAGCAAACCAGAATTTTCAACAGGAAAAAAAGGGAAAAAGTTGCTTTTTAATTTCTCCAGCCTCCCAAATCTACCCATATTTCAAGTTTCATAAAAATATTTTCAGTACTTTTTGAGTTATCACTGGATCCAGTTTATGTGTTAAATTTGCCATATTTTCAGACTATTTGTTGCCATAGCAACCAGAATTTTCAACATAGGAAGAAAAAAAAAAGACGTGCATAATCTCCATTACTGCCATCTATCCATATATCAAGTTTCATAAAAATATTTTCAGTACTTTTTGTGTTATCGCGGGATCCAGTTTTGTGGACGGACGGACTGACGGACTGACAGACAGACAGACAGACGGACAGACAGACGGACAGACAGACGGACAGACGGACGGAGGGTAAACCTAAAGTCCCCTCCGGTTAAACCGGTAGGGGACTAATAAGTTCTATTAAGAGGGAGTAAAATTCATGTTTGTTTTTTTACAGGGGAAACAACAAAATTCAAAATTCAATTGAAGCAGGGTTAATATACCGTAGAATATTTACTTATTTTGATGTATGTTTTTTTTTTTCGCTTTTCAAAGTGCTAAAAATGCCTAGAAATAACAAGGTAAGCGCTGACATTGTACTAATGTGTTATTTATTTCCAAATATATGCCCTTGTCTTAGAAAAGTAACGCGACAGCGGCAAAACTCATTAAACGGGACTTTTTAAAACTTTATGATACCCCAAAATACATGAAACTAACATGGATCATGTCTAAAATTCGCCGAAACTTGATGTAAAACCTGAAAAATTCACGTCATTTGAGCAATAAAAAATATGATTGAGCACAACAAATTTCAGTTGCTTTCTCAGACATTTGAAAAATGAACGGCTGTCTGATGCTGCATATTAATGATTACTAGTAGTCATTCGTCAGAAGATTTGTTGCAACTCCATTGTTAAAGCATGTATAATATTTCGAACCGTAGCGATAATTGAGTCAAATTGAAATAAATGTTTTAGTTATGGTTATTTCCCTTTGTTGAGAAAACTTTATTTTCCCCACTTGGATAAACAGTAAACAAACCAATTGTAATAAAATGTTGAGTGTTAAAAGACGATAAAATATCCCCATGTTTAGTATTTCGTATCATGAACTATAGGTAAATCGTGAAATCTACTTGCCATACAGCCATATATTTCTAAAATAATTTAACAACTTATTGATATAAACAGAGGAGTTTTGATTAATGAAACAAATACAAATTAAAATAACTGTTTTGAAATAATTTCAAACAAGATGGTAAGCAAAGACATACACATTATTTATGAAGTGGTAAAATAGGAAAACAGAAGTGCACATATTATTTCATATGGTGTTGACAGAATCTGAAGTGTTTTTTTTATAATTTGAAAGATAAAATAGTATTTATTTTGTTCACTATTATATACTTTCATAAAACTGTGCTTTGGGTGAATACTATCTTCCCACGATGTCGTTTACATAAACAGAATTTTATACAATTTGGAATAGTACTGAAATCATCTGTGCTGATATCTCGTTTTTGTAAGAAAGTAGGAACAAATTTATTATAATTAAAAGCCAACACTCAATTTAAATAACATTTTTTGGTCCTTGTTATTGTTGTATACATAACTCGTGACAAACAAAAATGTATCTTCGTAAGTAAAGTATCTAAAGTACTAAATCACACAGGAATTCGTCAATTCTATAACATTTTCCTTTCTTTTATATTTCTATACAGTGTATAAACGGGCTGTCAGTGAAATACAAGCCCGATTTTTATCAGTGCTTGACAATGAAACAAGAGCCTGGATGATGTAAAGTGTGTTAAATTCAAAAGGGCCATCTTTATTTTCTCCGAAATCCATGTTATAATTATTAGCATTGGCCAGTGCCCTTTCATGCTCTCAAATAAGTGTATGAATTTCAATCCTTTCCCCTGAAGAGTTGTATGGATATGCTTGCAAGTTAACCGATTTTTCAGGTGAGGACAATTGCTTTCTATTTAAATAAAAAGGTGGGTGAAATAATCCACATCAGAAGAATAGTTTTATTATTTACCACATCAAACGATTGTTTAGGGTTACACAGGAACTTTACTTTTTTAATATTTAATCGAGTAAGAAGTATAAATAACCATGTGAAAAAATACACAGATATAACGCTACATTTTAAATAAGCAATATTATTGTTATCATCATCATCATCATCGTTTACGTAGCCATCGTCGTTGTTGTCGGTCCAGTCGTCGTCATCATCATCATAATCATCAATATCATTATGAACATCAACAACATCATCATTATCATCATGAACATCATCATCATCACCATTATCATTATTGAAATTCGTTAAAGCTCGACTGACCATGAAAGTGTCAAAGGACAGCCAAAATATTTCAACTTATACCTGGACGTTGTAAGTTTAATATAATGCAGAACCTCATGGTTGTTTTATAGAGACAGTTGATTGATCAGTATTCAATTCAATATAAAGTGAATTGGTTCAAAATGAAAGGTCTGCTATTCTATAAAAATATATTGACAGTTTCGAGTACCATACGTGACAACAAAGCAAGAAAGGATTATATACTTAGTATGATTTTATTGACTTGTCAGTTATAAATACATTATAGCACTCATTAAAATATTCGATCCCACTTCGGTTCTGACCGTATAGTTTTTGAGAATTTATGTGGAGTATATAATTAACCTTTGACAAAACTTCCACTAGCTTAATGTAGAGCTTCTCTTAACATTCACAATAGCACAGTTGGTTACGTGATTACCTTATATATGAGAGGTCCGAGGTTCAATCCATTCTTTTAGACTTGTTCTTTCTTTATTTTAAGTCTATTTTAAATTGGCTACACGGATATGAAACAACTTAAAAACACTGAATTGTCATGTTTTCTAATGTATTTTACGGCACTGAAAAGACATTTATTGATTTCAATCGGAATGAATTTTGAATACTATTTATTGAACAAAGTTATAAACAAAAAAATAATATTACAAACAAAGCAAAACATATAAAAAAACAAAAAGAACAAACATAACTTCAAAACAGTTGAAAAATGTTATGAATAAGAACAAAATCCTGGACATACGCGGTCTCGATCATCTCGGTCACGAAGGACATTTTGAAATTATAAATCCGTAGTCTACCCCATTTCCCTATAACGGTCAGCGTAACTAATACATAGAAACAAGTTGAATTTAATCACATCTTATTGCGTACATCTCACGAAATGTACCGACAGTTATCGAATATTATAGCATAAAATCGACTATTTTTCCCTCTTTTGCCCATGTTATAACGGGACCAAAACCATGTGTTAACATAGTCACGCGCTCTTGTTATAGCCCGGTTTCAACTATGCGCAATACATACAGGGCCCAGTAAACAAACAAACAAAAAATGACGATTTGGCCTGTTTGCCGAAGAGTCATGCGCTCTTGTTATATTGAAATTTATTGATTCGAGGGCCTCAGTCGCATATTCAAGTAACTATGCCGGAAAAACGGCGTATAGACATCGGTGCTAATCTTGGTTGTCGCCCTTTCTAAGAAACGGACAGTTGTCAATGTAAACAAATACAGTAGAATCTACCTGTCATTCAGTTTAACACTCCGATTAACTTACAAAACTAGATAACACAAAATTAATATGAGAAAATGTTTTTTATTTATGTTAATGTTGATAAATGCTCTTTATATTTCTTTGAGAGAATAATGCTTAGTGCCTGATTTTTTTATAAACTTGTTTGCTTGAAAAAAAAACCGATTCTGATGTCACTGATCTTTTTTCTACCGTCAATCTGAAATCATTCTAAGAATTTCTGAGGGTCATGTTTTGTCTTGGGTAGAGGGTAGAGTAATGTAGTAATGTAACGTTTTTTTTCTTGAGATAATAAATCTCAAAAGGCCAAGCTTTGTTAAATCAATTAAAATTCAAAATTTCGTTCGGTTCCGAGAATTTTCCAAGTTGTTGGCCCCGGAAAAATGAAACGCATACGTAAAACATAGAATTGGATAAATACCGTCCAAGCTCAAGACTTTAATGCAATTGTGTTTTGTATAAACTATACATCACAAATCTGTTTGAAAAATTTATGCTATAATAGCGTCAACGCACGTTTATTTCGTGTTATAAAGTCTGCAGAGTCCCTCGGAACTGTTGGAGCCCTCGCCCTACCGGGCTCGGGCACCAACCGTTCCTCGGGACTAGATGCAGACGTTATAACACGGAAAAACGTGCGTTAACCCTATATTAATATATTCTGTGCATTGACGGTATAATCAATATGGAATTGACAGCTTAATAAAATCAAACAATACATGAATGTGTTAGATATATAATCCGGTACCGCTTACTTTTTTATACATGTATTTTGCAAGAACAAAATATTATTCATCATATAAATGTTAAAACGAGATCACATAAAACTGGATCACATTTTCTTTCAAGAAATATCTTGTATAAATACCTAAATCTATTATCAATATTTAAATATTTATTTAAAATCGTAGACCAAAACACCCGTACCTAATTAACTAACCAATTGTAATGGTGAAGCATCGAATTTGAATTGACAGAAGATGAAAAACATAAGACGCAATATAAACACAGTGTTACGACAACATTGGATAAAAGTAGCATACCATTTAGTTATGACAGCGATTATTAAATAATTTTAGGTGGAATTTTTGAAGTTTATCTTAAATTCCTTTAACATAATAGACGGTTAATTTTCTTTATTCTCCCAACAAATGTTTAAATTAGAATAGTTTCAATACAAAAAATATTTGATCATTTAACTAACGCGGAGATCAGCTGGCTAATTATAATTGAGTATGAAGATTCAAAGGGCGATATTACAAATTGACGAATTAGGCATAATAAGGTGTAAAAATTTCAATAACATAGCTTAATGTTTAATTAACATTGTATCAAAAGAATATAATAGTGTCGGTCTATTGTTTAAAAATTGTTTGCCATAAATCATACGCGTTGATATAATTTATTAATTAAACTATTTAAATAGCAAAGGACAATTAGGATTTATTATGTATGCAATACTGTTTTAAAGACATAAACGGACCTAACGATTCTTCTTCAACAAGTGGTAAGATGCTTTATTTCAAATACATTTGTATGTAATTATATTTTTTTTGTAGTAAAACAACCACGATATGAAGGTTGATACTGATGAAATATAGGATATATAAATATTTATCTTATACTTATAAATGAAATATTGAGAAACATCGATAAAATAAAATTTGTTTTTTCATTTTCCGTATTTTCACTGCAGTGTAGCATATTTTCCGTATTTTCACTGCAGTGGAACATATTTTTTATATTTTCACTGGTTTCTTGCTGGACTACTGCCAAATTCAGATAATATACAAAATTTTAAGGCCAGTCTTTCAAACTGTGAGAAAAGAGATAAATGTAAGAAAATTCAAGTTTATTTGTATAAATAATGGATTTATTTCCATCTTGTGCTATGAAAATTATCATATTTCACTAGTGGCTACAACCGCTTATGAAATGTTTAATTTCATACCACTCGATAAAAAAGTTGAATATCCTCTATATCTTAGAGTTAAACAGTGATCTTTCTTCATTTTTGTCTGATTTACGATACAACATGTCGGACGTTTTTACCTGCTCATAATTGTGTCTTGTTGACACAGTGACAACTTTAAAGAGAAATGCAAGATACTTCTTCATATATTCATGAAAATATCCAACATAGCAATGACAAAACTCATCATTTTGGAGAATTATTGATTAAAAGAATACGCCATAACAAACATTTCTGTAAATTAAGAAAAAGCAAGATTCAGGCAAAGGTATAGCTCTTAGAGAAGTATATAGTTAAGAAAAAATATCTGTCTAAGCGGTGTTTTTAACACCGGTTTGGAGTTTTGATGCGTATGAATTGACCACGAAGGGCGTAGGCCTGAATGGTTATTGTTTTGCATCAAAACGACAAAACCGGTGTTAAATAGCCATTAAACACCGCTAAGACCGATATTATTTCAATTCTAGCACTAGAAAATAAGGAAGATCACTAATGCTATTTTTTTCAAGCGAAAATAACTTCCGGTGCCGATTTTCGTATAACGCTTTTCGATTTTCGCACCCTACTGTTGCGAAGATATAGAAATTATTAAACAAAAGAAATAATCAGAAAAAAACGTTATTTTATCAAGTTTTTTGACAATAAAAACTTACGTGGTATTGTGTTTACATCAGTGCCCCATTTATCATTCTTGTATGTATGCAATAATGTCAGCTTGGTTATGAATGAGTTGTTTACTTTGGATGACGTCATTACGCTGCTTACGGATTGGCGCCGTTTGGTCAAAAAACAAACTGATATGGATCAAATATGGGGCGTTAGTGTATGTGAGATATTATTTCGGTATTGTATGAAAAGAAAACAATATAAGAACTGAAAATATAAATAAAAATGTTTTAATTGTTGCTTAAAAAGGCTTTGTAAACTATATAATCGAGGTTTTCTTTTGCAAACAGTCGTCAGAATGACTGATTAAGAAAACCTCTGAGAAATAAGATACATCTTTGAAGAATTCATTCTACTTATTGACCAGTATCATGCTTATTTAAATAAAATGGTTAAAAACCCAGTCATGCTCGTTTTACTGATAAAGTACGAATTTTTATTAACTGTTCAAGTATTCATTCTACTTACCGAACAACAAGATATTCATATGGAACTTTATTTTACAAAATAATGGACAGAATCCTGATATTGTAACTGTATTTCTTAATATTCTTTCATTAATGTATTTACATTTTACTGATCCTTAGTGTACATGCAGGCGAAACATCTATTTTTGAACTTTTTAATCATCTATAAAGATTGGATAAGCTATTCTTTAAATGATAATATATCTTTTTTAATGTTTTAAATTTGATATCAACAATACTTTTAGCTTATTTTCAGACCCACCATGATTTTTAAACTACTGATATCAACAGCTGTTTTCCACTTTGCACACGGTAAGTTGTATGGTCACGTGACCATCATTTATTATTATACTTTCCTTCAAATTACACGATATGATCTACCGAATAATAAGAGATTGGTACTTGGTTAATGCTCGCCATTTGCCATTATCGCATAAATTTGAGCAATATTCATGTATATACGTCTTTAAATAATATCTAAGGTGTGCCTGCAATAAAATATCATGAGGTGTGTTTGCAATAAAATATCACGGCGTTTAAACACCACAGCTAATCTTGGTCGTCACCCTGTCTATGAAACGGACAGTTGTCAGTGTAAACAAATATATATGTCAAATTCGAGCTTCTAGGTCCCAGTTCGTGCTCTGGTTGAGTTCAGGTCCACGAAAAAGCAGTCAGGGGCAACTGTAAAATAAAGACGAGAACAATTCACTTCATTGTTGTTTATGTTCTTTCTTTTGTCAAAATATCATTAAAAGTTGTTCTTGTCAGGCTTGTTGGTTAAAAGGGTCCGATGCTTTCAAGTCACATATCAACTCAACTCCATATAGATGTCCCGCGACTCCTGATTGAGATATTTCTCTTGTATTGTTGATGTTGGTTTCATATTGTCTTTAAAATTTCATATGATTTATTTGGAGATACAGCTCTAAAACTAAGTTATAACGCAAGTAAGACATTGAGACCCCTTGCCTTCTCTACGCATAACGATATTAAGATGACTTCTAGACTCATTGGCACTTAAACCCCTTTTGACATGACTTTTCGACCCCTAGTGGGTAAGAAATTTCGACCCTATCTTATTTTTGTGCTTAAGAATCACAGATACTTCGAGATATAATTTAAAGTAAATAGCAATTATTTTAATTTTTTTCATAAAAATATACGTTAAAATATTGAAAACGTATGGTAAAGTAATAATTTAACATTGTTTTTATTCGTATAATGTTATGTTACATAGAGAATAACATGCTACTGTCTTTTGATATCAATTTTATCAGGTGAGGCTGATATGGGCTAGAAAGGGCGAGGCTTGCCGAGCCCTTTCTGCCCATATCAGCCTCGCCTGATAAAATTGATATCAAAAGACAGTAGCATGTTTTTCTATTTATCATGTAACACATAATAACTGTCAAAATAACAAAATAATCTACTTTTAAATAGCGAATTTTGTTAAAAAGGGGAATTTTTGTTCAAAGAAATAATTCTTGAAAACAAATTCCTCCGCCCCTGACTCTTAGAATTTGTAATTGGCGGCCATTTTTTCGTTCGACTCGGATAAAAGATACAACAAAATGTAGGCCTAATACGATAACATTCTTACCTTTAATTTAAACATCGATCCAAAAATCCGCTTAGAATCACATAAACTAAACTTTACTGCAATTTTTGTCTTGAATTGTCAAATTCAAAAGTTCACGATAATTTCAATCACAGAAAAGTCAAATCGGCAATCAAACACAAGCTACACAAACATGCGTCTTATTTTTTAAACGAATCAATTTGTTCACTTATTAAATAATAATCCGGCGAAATAAAGCAAACATTTACAAGTTCTCAAAGAAAATCGTCAGCCTGTTTGTAATGATTACATGTATAGTATGACGTGAAAATCGATGATGTCATTTACAATATAAATTATGACGTCACTTCATTTAGTTGGTGCTAAAACTATTCGCTATCTAATTTATTTGTAATTGAAAACGAAATAATGAATAAATAAATTTCGCATATTGATTTCAAGACTTGTAAGGGTATGAGATTACATTGTAGAATTCACATGCTGATGAAAATGCTCGAATATAAGCAATTGAAAAAAAGTCCGTTAAAATGGGCGGGGCTAATTTTTGATATCAGGTTACTGACGTGATATCAAACATAATTATCAGGCAAGTGTTATCGGGCAGTTACCATAGCAGTTGCATGATAAATATAATTGTAGGTAGGCAACATAGCAGGTATAACATTTAATTTTAATTTATGTTAATATAAAATGCCTGGGAGTGATATATCAAAAAAGACTAAAGGTGGAGGAATTATGATGGTAATGATAATAATGAAAATGCGCGATTTGTGTATTCCGTATTTATTCATAACTACAATTTCTGCAAGTTTGTAAAGATTTAGTTTATTTTTCTGTGAGAAACACATGCATGTTATATTGGCGATGAATTATTTTACATGTCTACACAATTAAGTTGATATATTCAATTGACTAGTCAAAGTAGCAATGAATGATCTCATTTTTATGGTATTTACAGTCCGAATTAATAATTAAAAAACAAATTACCAATCAATCAATAAATGGTTGTTATTTGAAAACGATCTTCATGTTGCTATTTTATAACTAAAATGTAAATTATGATATTTAAAATTGTAGTGATATTGACAAAAAATGATATTGTGTCATCTATTTCTTATATAATTTGTAACATAAAAAAACAAGTTAATCTCAAAAATGTTTTATTACATCTCACATACGCATTTTTCTCATACATTGAGTGAAATATTGCCATAATAAGCTTCAAAAGTAATATGTTTTGGACAATAACAAGTTAAGAAATTATTTAATTATTGAATATAAGTCCATACATGTTCCTTGAATCAAAATGTATCTAACACAACAAATGTCATATGAAAAATTAATAAAAACGGAAAAGTACAGCAAAAACACAACACTTATTGATTCGATACACCGGTGAAAAAAAAAGATGGTCCCGTTTATTGTTGGTACATTAATACTGTACTGGTATTAGTGATATTATAATTTTGCTTGTGATTTCAGTGCCAGATAAGGATTTTTTTTAAGTTTAATTTAACATTTCTTATTGTTTGGCAATATTGACCTGAGTCTGTAATAATTTTCGGAAGTAATTTGTTACTTTTCTTAATTTGATACATTTACTTTTTGATTTGTAACGATAGAAAAGTTATCGATACTTAATTAATTTCATACTAACATCCTCGAAAATATATTTTTATTTCATCTATAACAACACACGTACGTGTTTTTTTATTCAAATATAGTATTTAAAGGACCAATAAGCTTAAGATTTCCTGATATAAGTAGTTCGATTTACAGAAAGTAACAAGTGCACATGGACATAATGTCAATATTTGCTTAGAAAAAGGTGAATTACAAAACGACTGATAGATATTTATATCATAAACAAACAACATTACAATTTTTCATTGCAATTACTGTTATTAGTCCCCTACCGGTTTAACCGGAGGGAACTTTAGGTTTACCCTCCGTCCGTCTGTCCGTCCGTCTGTCAGTCCGTCCTTCCACAAAACTGGATCCCGCGATAACGCAAAAAGTACTGAAAATATTTTTATGAAACTTGATATATGGATAGATGGCAGTATGGAAATTCTGCACGACTTTTTTGTTCTACCTATGTTGAAAATACTGGTTGCTATGGCAACAAATAGTCTGAAAATATGGCAAATTTAACACATAAACTGGATCCAGTGATAACTCAATAAGTACTGAAAATATTTTTATGAAACTTGAAATATGGGTAGATGGCAGTCTGGAGATTATGCACATCTTTTTCTTTACTTCCTATGTTGACAAATCTGGTTGCTATGGCAACAAATAGCCTGAATTTCAAGATTTCTGATTTAAATTTGTCAGCTTTTTTACTATAAGTTCTTTATTTCTTTAGGTGTTAACTTCAAACTTTAAATATAAGTTTCTAGTAATCAACCACATCATATGTGACAAGGTTTACAACTCTAGCACAAAAATTATCAGTAGTACCTCCCTTGAACTTAGAATTTTTATGTAAAAAAATGTTGTCTTTTTTAAATAACTTCTTTATTTCCTAATGTATCTACTTCAAACTTCATATATATGTTTCTTATTATCACTCAATATTTTTGAGAAGGTTAAATACTCTAGCAAGACTATTTCCAGAATTATCTCCCCCTTGAACTTAGATTTTTTTCGAGAAATTGGTATTTTTCACTCCAACTTCTTTATTCTAATAGGATTTACTTTAAAATCCCACATCGTAATAATATGACAAGGTTGTATAAACATAATTTCCTTACTAGGCAGGGGAACTTTACACATTACTGTGATATAGACAAACTTTGAACTCAAAAGATTTAAGTTCATTTATGTCATTCATTCACTGGTAAAATTGAATGGCCAATGGTCCATCAGAATGTTGCTGGGGTTCTAACCGGTAGGGGACTTATGGATTGCTTGCAATACTATGATAATTGCTTGTTTCTGATATTACGCGTATGTATACAAATAAATATAATATATTATACTTTCTGTTTAAATGTTGTGCGTGTCTTTCAGTTCCTTAAATAAAATACTTAACTTATATATAACAAATAACGGCTCAATAGGATTTCACTTATTATTCAGCATATCTATTAGATTATATATAATTAACTTGTAAACAAATTAATTTTTTTCCATACATTGACGTTTTTAAGCACATTATGTTTACGAAGTGAACGTCTTCAAGAACATTATAAAGAATAAAGGGTCGAAATGTCCAGTCAATTTAAGAGGTCTAAGTGTCTGAGGGGTCTAAGTATCATTGGTCGAGATGTCTTAGGGGTCGAGGTGTCAAGGGGTCGAGGTGTCAAGGGGTCGATATGTCATAGACTCGTTATAACTAATAGACTCTTTGCCTTCTATTGTTTTTAAAAACTTTTGCTCTCTTCATGTCTACCGCCTATCTGAAATACATTTTATCTAAGGGTTTTCTGTTGGTCACCGTTTGCTCTGGCATAGTTATTTGAATTTTTGTCTGAAGTTTAAAGTCTTTGTTTATTTCGCATGATAATGTCATGTAAAACTAAAATTTTGTCTGCACGCGATTACAAATATTTCAACTTAACGAAACAGCAATCTTAAAAACTCACTGAGAGCTGTTTGCGCAATTGCGCATGTGTGACAATTCACTCACCGTTTATTGGAAAATAATGCCGAATAGCAAGGCGACTGGAATTGGAAATGACGTAGTAATTGCCATTATGACCTTGAAAAACCCTACATTCTGATGCAAAATATCGTAACTTAGGTATTGAAGGTAATCTGTTTAAAGAGACCATTTCTTTATTGATTTATTATACATTTCGAAAAATAATACTAAAATAAATATGGAGTCAATAACATCAGTTGTATTGAAATATTAGTGACTCAAATATACGTGTTTATTACAGGTATTACCTTAAGTTGTGTTCCTGATGTGCCTGAAAATCACTCAAACATATCATGTACCTGTAGAAATCCAACAAAAAATGGCATTGAATGGCGACGTAACTCGCAAATTGTTACAACCTGTTCAGGAACTGAAGACAATTGCTTCCCACCTTCCTTAAAATACAGGTCATCTGTCTCTAGTGATGAATTTTACTTGGAAGTAAGCCCTTACTCATACACAGATTGTGCAACATATAGTTGCAAAGACGTAAGCACAGCCGAAGAAGTTTATGTCACAACATCCATAGCAGGTAATGTGACTCTGTTTATCAACCACCAAAGAAGAATAATGTTGCATATTATTTTCGAGAAATATATAAAAGTATAATATAAGCATATATTCGCATTGTTTATGAAATTAATTATATTATTTGCATTTTGTTTAGCAAAAGCCTTTTGACTCTTGTCTTACAGGTACAGTTTTCTTTTAATTTAAAGAAACCTCATAACTTCCGCTATTTAAGCATATTTTATTTAAAAAAATGCAAAACTGATCTACCTTTTCAGTCTTAAAGCTTTTTTAACTACATACTTTGTTTTGTTTTTATTTTGCCAAGTTTGTTTATGTCAAAGATATTCTTTCTTTACAATCGCAGACTTTGACCAGAGAAGTATTACAACAGAGGAACCTGGAGCAAATACAGATGGCCAAATTATGGTCAATACGGGATGCGTTTTCCCAACATCTAACATAACAATTACATGGTACAAAATTGAGGTAGGTTGACAGATGTGCTTCATCTATTTGCAAGCTCTTTTCTAGCAATCAGGACTTTTTTGACTGGAATTGTCCTTAGTAGTGAGTATTACACTAAAGTTAACCATTTATCGTAGCAATGGTGACTGTATTGTAAAAGTAGATACAAAATGAAGTCGCTGGGACTTGAACCCCCAATCTCAAATAATAATTATACCTTTCCCTTTAACGTTTACTCAATAAGTCAACTAAAATTTATGCAAGTACTGTTCTGACATATAGGATTTTTTTAATAATAAAATCACCCCTATAATATAACATACGTTTCTAAGTATACTTAACAAATATTAAGGAAGAGGTGTATAGTGTCGTTCCGTTTATTATTTTGGCCCGTCTGTTATATATTGCTGGGCTCCTTGCCGGAGGTCTTGCAGTGGGGGATGCGGTCATTATATGCCGCCCTTCCTTTTTGATTTTGTTTTTTAATGTTTTGTTGGTATTAACTTGCACTTTCCAAAACAACCATGTTTAGGGCAACAGAGGGACATGCCATAAAGTTTGTATTACTTTAAAGTTCAAACCACAATTGTAGTCGGAATGTCACAAATTAGTCAAGAGATGTTTGGTTTGCAAAAATGCAGTTCGAAAGTGGTCTCAATTTTGCTCGTACTAAGCAACAAAACGGCATCTTCTGGCTACGAGTTAGGAAGCCAATTATGCGGCAACTGCAACGACTAAGAGATTTCCATGACAATGTTTCCCTGTTGAAACGTTTTTTTGAAAACGTGCTGTTAAATATAAATTCCGTTAATACTAAATTATCTTATCTTATAGTAAATCACATTACCTCAATAATGTTTCAAAACACGCAAACAAAAAACTGGAAAGAAAGTGATCCCTCTGAAGCATTAATTACAACAAAATTACATGAAAATGGCAGACTCGGTTTGAATGAGTCAGTACATGAAGGATTATATATAAATGCAACATCCGTCACACCACCTGGATAATACTAAACAACATACCGAAATTTATACTTGCCATTTGTAGATTGTTGTCTTGTACGGATAATATCATATTCCAGAAGTTGAATGACAACTAAACGACAATATTTGCAACTAGCGGAGCTGTTGTAATGACCCACTGGGTTGAATTGAGGGCGGCGTTGGAGGCGGCGTCAACATTTCTTACTTTCGGTCACAGACATCAATTCTAACAACCTTATTAGACTTAAACATTATATTGTCATGCACCTTGATATATTTTACCGGTCACACATATATTCAAGTAAAAAATCATTAGTCTTGTAATAGGATAAAGGCTATGGTCCATTTCTCAGAAACTAACAGAGCTATCCACTTCAAAATTTTAATTTTGTTTTGTAATCAAAATGTCAAACAAAAATCTGAAAAATTTTGATTTCTCTGGAGCTACAAGTATAACAAAATTATATAAAAATTGTATACTAGATTCGATTGGGTCTGTACATGAGGGATAGGGAAAAAAGCGGTACTCATATTTCAATACTTAGAATCACTGATATTTGCATTTAATAATATTAAGTTTTTATTTTGTATTACTAGGATAATAATAGCCGCTGGATACACGCTACAATATATCGAAAACCGGTATTTTAGGTTCGATTGATACATTGTTTTGAAAGTTCCATTATTGGCATTTACTTGGAAATGGTCAGCAATTTTGTTGCTGGAATTCAAATACAGGATTAATTTGTTTAAATTTGTTGTGATTAATACCTCCGAGAGATCACTTTTTCTCAATTTTTTTTATGATTGGATACTTACTTAAAACATTAAATACATAAAACATCAATCTTAATGTATTTCTAAAATCATTCAAAAATATTCCATTAAACAATTTATTTTCTCAAAAAACTTTTTTCAACCTAATATCAATCTAAACTAAACATATCCTATATTCCCCTAATTTGATATTTCAATAGTTTTTTATCCTTTATTTCTTTACAAAAAATACAATTCGAAAAAAAAAACATAGTTCCTCATTTGCCTTACAAATATAGCACCCTTAATACTGGGTATCCGGGATTTCTTTGGCCCGAAAGGTCTTACTGAAACAATAAAATAATACAGTACTTGATATCTAAGATGTATGCGTACAAGAAAATGTAATTATTATTACAAGGACACGAGTCTTTCCCTCTTTTACAAAGACATTTTCAGAGTTTGCAATATTCATGTTATTTTACTGTGATCACTGCTTCCGGGGGATAATCCCTTTTTTCAGATTTTAATATTCACAACAGCAGGTGTCAAGTTGTAAAAAGTTGTCCGTACTTCACTTTAGTGATTTTTTTTTCTGGTCCTTCGAAAACAATGATCCAGATACTGTTAAAAATTAACTACCGCTTAAGCCGGTGCAAGGGAGTTGCATCTTTTCATAAGCCCTCATTATACAGACCAAGTCTTCAGTTTTCATGTTATTTTGTTGTGATTAATGCTTCCGAGGGATCACTATTTTAACTTATTTCTTTTTTTAAAAACGAAAGTCTGGGAAAGAAGTGATTTTTTTTCCGAATGCATTTAAAACAAGAAATAATTTTTATGACAGAATGGAACAGAAGAAGATTTTACAGCCAGTCCCATACAATCATCGGAAAGGTCAAATTGTTCACGTACATGCAATGCAGAGACAGATAAAAAAGTTGAAAGTGGATTTACTCACACTGAATATACTGGGTCCGACTATGTAGAGGTCGTATATAAGGTTACAGTCACACACAACTTATACATAGAGGAAGTATTTGCATGGACGTCATCGAAATACCGGCTTAAAGCAGGTACTACTAAAACTGTGTGTCTTCTTTTTGTGACACGTATTCCAAAACTGCGTTTGCATATTTATGTTTTGACCATAATGTCTAGATTGAACATATTTTGTAACATATCACGTAACCGCGTTATTCAATTATTCAGGCGTCGTTATTTGTATATTTGTAGTAGTCATGTAGACAGAATTCTAAGCTTTCATCATAAATATATTAATAAAATTGATAATGTGTCCTTAATATCAGTACCTTCAACTTTCTTAAACAATAAGCAATAATACTTGTATTTTTACAAATGACAGAGACATACGATGGTTTAGATTTCGTTGTGGTCTACAATTTAGTAGGATCTAGTGCATGCACCCTACAATTATGAATTGCATGTGAATTTCGACATAACCTCAGTCTAATTATTATGTTAAAGAACGAATACATATTGCAAGTTGACAATTAAATGCTATGTCTTTGTAAGCTTGACTTTTAAATATGGAATTTTGATTATATTTTGTACGAAAAATGTCGTTTTCTTGGAGAATTCTTTACTAACTCTTCCTCTGATGTTTAGAAAATAAGAAAATTGTTTGACATAGACCCTGCATGGTTATGGTTTTTGTTTACTTACGGGAGTACCCATAATTTTGAAACAAACATCATCAATATAAAATGAACTGAATGACTGTCGTCATGTGAGGTTCCACACCACAACCAACTCCTTATGCCAATTCTGCATCTACAACAACCAAATCTCAAGATATAGAAATACCTGTTATTTTTATATATTGTTTTTGTGGTTTTGATTCTGATTATCATAGCCTGTATACAATTAAGGAAACACACTAATAGAAAGATGATTAAAGGAGCTGGCCCAACAACTAAAGATACTCAGGATTTTTTTCCAATTACACCATGAATGTACCAAAAAAACGACAAAGTACTATGACAATAATGATGATTTCTTTATTAAGAGCATATGTCAAGTCAGAGTATGTGAAACGAAAAAAAACAACAAAGAAAAAACACACACAAACACAGTACAATTGAAAAATGTAGATAGATGAGATAATTTGTAATATGGTGATATGGTGTTGGTTAACCATTGTTCTGGGAGATCTAAATAGCCATGGCTATACCTGCATTTTGAACTCGACTTTACTAAGTGATAGCTGGATTACTCATACGGTGTTCGCGGCAAGATTTCAGATTAACCTTTTTAGTACAGTAAAATATTTTGCTATTACTTTGTCATTTATAAAGGTAAAAACTTCAAATTTCAAATGCATATTGCTTATTATCACCCACATCATGTGAGACAGAACTAATAATATGCATTGACATTTTCAGAATTATCCCACCTTGAACTTGGAGTTTATTTTCCCACGCCGAAATGGCGGCGGGGGATATAGAAATAGTCGCCGTCCGTCGCCCGTCCTTCCGTCCCACATTTTTGTCCGGAACATATCTTAAAAAGTATTTAAGGTATCAACTTGAAACTTCATAGGTGGATAGATCATATATAGGATGAGTGCAGTCCAAAAGAATGATTACTCTACCTTGCATAACTTTTCAGTTATTGCCCTTTGTTATTTTTCAAACTTAATTTTTGTCCAGAGCATAACTCAAGAAAAAACATTTAAGATATCAACATGAAACTTCATAGGTGGATAGATCTCACTCCGGAAGTGTGAAGTGCACACCTATTATACCTTTATCCTTAATAATCTTTAAGTTATTGCCCTTTGTTATTTTTTATACTTTTTCTTTCCTGAGTGGAGCATAACTAATTTTTTTAGATGTAAACATGAAACCTTATCATTAGATAGATCTTTTTTAGCAGGAATGCCGTGCACAATAATGATAACTCTACACTAAATATTGTTTGAATTATTTCCCTTTGTTTTTTCCTTTCTATTTGTCAGGAGTTTATCTCAAAAAGTGTTACAGGTATCAACTTGAAACACAATTATGAATTGCAGGTGAATTTCGACATAACCTCAGTCTAATTATTATGTTAAAGAACGAATACATATTGCAAGTTGACAATTAAATGCTATGTCTTTGTAAGCTTGACTTTTAAATATGGAATTTTGATTATATTATATAGTATTATATTATATTGTCTAGTGGAGCATAGCTAATTTTTTTAGATGTTAAACATGAAACCTTTATCATAGATAGAATCTTTTAGCAGGAATCCCGTGCATCAATATTTGATAATATCTAAACTAAATATTGTTTGAATATTTCCTTTTTTTTCCTTTTTATTTGTGCAGGAGTTTAATCTCAAAAAGTGTTACAGGTTCAACTTGAAACTTCATAGGTGTATAGATCTTTCATTGAGGAGGAAAGTGCACCCCCTTTTTTATTTTTCAACTATGGGTATTACATACTGGTTTCAAATTGAAAACATTTCAGTCATCGGTTTTCCAAAAGACCCTTAAAATTTAAATTATTCGCTTTACAATAAAATATTTAAATTTATGCAACGTAATTTGGGTAAGAGAGTGAAAAAATTTTTTATGTCAGTTTAATTTAAAACCCCAAATTCCCCCTGATATTTAAGTATTTTTTTTGTCTTCGGGAATTTGCATTTATTGCACCAGACTGGAAAAAAAGGGGGGTTATTTTTTTCAAAGGGTTTATTCTTGGTAGGTTTTTTTAGTTTTATTAGTGTAAATTTCGGGAAACAGTTTTTCCCAATTGTGATAATAATTTTAAAAGGGTTCATCAGACAAATTTTTAATTACTTTGAGGTTTTTCTTTTTTTTATGTTTTTTATTTTTTCGGAATTTAAATCAAACTTCAAAAATAACTTCTAACCAACACCTTTGTCATCTTGATAAATATTATTTCAGTAGCTTCCGTATTTCCAGAATAATCTCATTTTATTTTTTTATTGCACAAGGAATTTATTTGATAATAGTATTATCTTTCTGTACGCCCATCAGTATAACTTGGCACAAATTATCACCATTGTAAAGCGGATTGTTGCACTTTAAATTCAGGTCTCTGCGACTATGTTCAAGGTCACACGTCAAGGTTAAAATATTATTTGTTGCTTTATAAAATGGTCAAAGATTTAGAGCAAATAATAAATCTTTCAAATGTTTGTCCTGGTTATACATCCTGTCGATGTAAACCTGAAAGACAAAGTTTGTTTTGAAACAATAATATATCATTATATGTATTTGTTCTATTACCAAAAAGAAA